GTGTGTGTGTGTGTGTGTGTGTGTGTGTGTGTGTGTGTGTGTGTGTAAGGCTCAAAGGCTCTAGAAATGGGTACGTGCATGAGGAAGATTTTCATATGCATCATAGTAGTATTTAATATAAAAGAGGGTCTATGCATTAAGCCCATGCTCACGCTAAGCAAGAGAAGAACTGCAGAGTGCTTTTGATATTTGGAAATTAACACTTACTTACTTTTGAGTGCAGTGCCAGAACAGTTCCTCAGAGGTGTGTTTCAGGGGCAGTTTAAGTTGTGCTTGTGCTTGTTGTGGGTGGAAATAGAGCTGGAAGAGAACTGTCTCACTATCCCCAGGCTGCCAGGCAGGAATCGAGCAGCAAACACATGGCCACTTTTCTAGAGTCCCATTGTCTTGGGTGTGTGTCTGAACAGCGCTGGAAGGGTCTGTGTGCCCTTTCCTCGGCTGCCCTGCCAATGGCTCTTGCTGGTGTTTACTTTCAGACGGTTTTTCCAGACCGCTTGTGACGTCCCAGAGCTGCAGGATAAATTTAATGTGGATGAGTATTCTGACCTAGTCACCCTCACCAAGCCAGTTATCTATATCTCCATTGGCGAGATCATCAACACCCACACCGTAAGTGCTTTCCCTTAATTACTTAGTTGCATCCCTCTGCCTTTAATGACTCTCCCTGGCACCTGCTTCCTCTCTCACTCTTCTGTGATCTTAACTGACACCACAGTGCCTTGTTTTGTTTTTTCTCTTCCTTGGGGGAGGGTGTGCTAGAGTGGACTAAGTGTTCTGCCTCTGAGCTACACCCCAGCCCTGCAAATTATTCGTAAGCCACCTGCCTGAGTATCAGCCACACTGACATTGAGAAGTGATGACTGCCAGCCCAGTGACAGGTGTCCTGACCCGGAATCTCTAGGAATGGACTCCAAAAGTGCATTGTGAGCGCAGACGTAGTGGCTTGGTGAAATGCTCTCTCTCATTCCAGCCATTCGAATTCCTCCTCTCACGTGACCTACACCAGCTTCTTCTCTCTGGCTGTGGAGTTTCCCTTTGGGAGCTCCCTGTTTGTATAGATTTTTCATACTCAGTTTCCTTCTCCCTTTGGGGACAGGTAGATCAAAAATTACATATGTGATGTTGTATGTAAAATGTTGATGGCATTTCAGGTCCTGTCCTCTCTGAAGACATTACCTGGGATAGTAGCATGCATGAGGCTTTGTTGAGTGGCAGGAAGATAGTGGCAGTGTGGCTCTGGGTGCTTTTTCTGAATAAGAAGATAACTGCGTGTTAGCAGAGTTTAAAACCCAGCACTGGAAAAAAAAAAAAGCAAAAAACAAAACAGCTAACCAAAGCAAGCTATGTCCCTGGGATACTGAGCAAATCTCAGTATATTGTTGAATTAGTGCTTGTCGGGTGCAGTGATGAATTTAGTCTGCGTCCTGTGCTTTCTTCCTCCTCCTCCTCCTCCTCCTCCTCCTCTTCCTCCTCCTTCTCCTCCTCTTCCTCCTCCTCCTCCTCCTCCTCCTCCTCCTCCTCCTCCTCCTCTTCTTCTTCTTCTTCTTCTTCTTCTTTAGTTTTTCTAGACAGGGTTTCTCTGTGTAGCCTGGACTGTCCTGGAACTCACTCTGTAGACCAGGCTGGCCTCGAACTCAGAAATCCGCCTGCCTCTGCCTCCCAAGTGCTGAGATTAAAGGTGTGCTCCACCACTGCCCGGCTGTCCTGTGCTTTCTTACACCAGGAGCATTTGGATCATTTTTGACCAGGCCAGGATCTCCTGGTGTTTACAACGTTCACTGTTCTGTGAAGTCCAGTGTGACTGCTTGGTCCCTCAGGCTGTGTACTACCAGCTTGTTTGTCCTTTGGATGCGCAGTTTTGTTGTTTGGCCTTGCCAGTGGGGACAGAGGGTTGAGGGTAAAAGTGGAATCCATCCCTGGCTCTTCGCAGCTGCTGTTGGACCATCAGGACGCCATTGCTCCAGAGCACAATGACCCCATCCACGAACTGCTGGACGACCTCGGGGAGGTGCCCACCATCGAGTCCCTTATAGGTACCGTTCTTAATTAGCCACTGAAAAGCTGGAGGAGGAGGAGGATTGTCATTGTCTCTCTGATTTTGCACTGTACCAAAGTCTAGACACATTGTGGGAAACAAAACCAGTGTAGGCCCCCGTCTGCGATTGAGGAGCTGAGTCTAGTGAAAGATGCTTTCAAATACAAAGACAAACATTCGCACATATAATTTGAAAGTGTACCTTTTATAAAAGAACGACTATTGAGAGAGAATTTTGATGTTACACTGTTGAAAGTTTTTTTGAGATGGGAGTCAGTTTTAGGGTGGAGGTGTCTCACTTTATAGTCCTGTCTGGCCTAGAACTCACTAAAAGACTAGGCTGGCTTCAGACTCCCAGAGATCTACCTGTCTCAGCTCCCCAAGGGCTGGGATTAGAGGTATGCATCACTGTGCCCCAGTGAAATGATTTTCCCCACATTAATGAAGTTTCTGCACTAGGGACCCTTTTCCTTAACCGTTTGGTATCTTTTCTTTTATTTCTCAGTGAGAACTGAGCTTGCCACACTAAGTGTGCTGGTTTATCAAGAGTCATATTGGCCCTGATCATATTTATTGTACTATTTCCCCTCCAGAGTGTCTTTTTATTGCATTGATTCTTTCTACACTCCCGACTGCAGGAGAAGGCTGTGGCAACTCAAACGACCCCAACAAGGAGGCGCTGGCCAAGACGGAAGTGTCTCTCACATTGACCAACAAGTTTGACGTGCCTGGTGATGAGAACGCAGAGATGGATGCTCGGACCATCTTACTGAAGTGAGTACTGACGGGAGAAGGGAGTGCCTTGAAACCATATTTGCTGGGTCACACGGCCACACGGGATCGCCCACCCTGGCCTCTCTTGCCCATCACAGTCCTCAGCACCCGACTTGGTGCTTGTATCTTAGTTTGCTAGTATCGTACAGTTACAATGTTGGGAATTCTCCCCTGCACCCACTCCGCTGTGGGTCCCTGCTCCTTGTGCAGCAGCCCTGTGGGTGTGGGTGTGCTTACAGCAGAAAGGCATCTGCTGTAAGGGTACTCCAGCTGCTGCTTAGATCCGGTGACAAGGAGGTAGAGCATACGGCCATGTTGAAACACCTTCCCATCTCATTACAGTACAAAGCGTTTAATTGTGGATGTCATCCGGTTCCAGCCAGGAGAGACCTTGACTGAAATCCTAGAAACCCCAGCCACCAACGAACAGGTACAAATGAAGGTTTCACTCTCCTCTTCCTAAACAGGAGAAGCTTTTCTGTGATAGATGCATTCCTGGATGGGAACCAGTGGGACAGGGAGGGGCATAGACCCAAGGGTGGGCATGGATCTAACCTCGAGACAGTAATAATTAGGGCTCATTTGTCTGGGAGGTTGGTGACTCCTAAATCCAGGTGGTGGTCTCAGGGCATGAAACCCCCTTTTCCTTCAAACAAAAGAGAAATGGGAAGGGAGAAGGAGAGGGAGAACGAATATAGGATGAACGAGAATTTAATCTGGGGGAGAGTCCGTCTGTCTGGTAATTTAATGAGTGTCTTACAGTTGTAATTAGAAGAAGTACTTGGTGCAAGATATGACTCCAAACTTAAGTTCCAGTTAGGAAAATGATAGTACATATATCTGAAATCGTAATACTAGAAATTAACTATAGTATTGATTTAAAAATGCTAGAAGTTGCTGGGTATGGTTGGGCATGCCTTTGATCCCAGCAAATATCTCTGAGTTCGAGGCCAGTCTGCTCTACCTAGCTAGTTCCAGGCCAGCCAGGGCTACACAGTGAGGAACTGTATGTTTCAGCGGTTTTTTAAAAAGCAAGGGAAAGGGTAAGGAAAGATGGCAGAGTCTGAGGAAGGGTTTCTTGTTGCTGCACCAGTGTTTGCACCTGCTTGGGAGCAGAGGGCAGCAAGAGCCTGCTTCAGCTCAGGCAGCCTGTTGGGAGGAATTCGCAAGGGTTAACTGGACATGGCTGTTACATTATTTTATGTAGTTATTTTGAGCCACATTTAGAATAAAGTAACGTGGGCTTCAGTATCCGAAATAAGCCAGGGATGATAAAGATAAAGGACATTGTAGCTCAGCATCTGCTCTCCTGACTATACCTAGTTTCAGGGAGGCTGAGCATTGGATTCACAGATGTGCTTTGTAGGTGGAATGAGATATCTCCCCTTCATGCTGTTGTTTGGCTGGCAATGGGTAGAGGGAGGAACTGTGTCTGAGTACAAATATGCTATGTACGTCTAAGTTTAGGGCTCCCGTGGTGAACTGATGAACATGGTTTTTTGTGTTTTTTTTTTTTTTCCATCTGTAGGAAGCTGAACATCAGAGGGCCATGCAGAGACGGGCTATCCGAGATGCCAAAACCCCTGACAAGATGAAAAAATCAAAGCCCATGAAGGAGGATAACAACCTCAGCCTCCAGGAGAAGAAAGAAAAGATCCAGACTGGCCTAAAGAAGCTAACAGAGCTTGGGACGGTGGACCCAAAGAACAGATACCAGGAACTCATCAACGACATTGCCAAGGTACAGCACTCGTGAGCAGTGGCCGCCTGGCCTTATTTACAGACACTTCAGGAGCTCTGAGGTGCAGCCTCTGACTCTCACACCAGGACTTCACTTCTGAGGTAGATTTTATATATAGTCTAAATTAATGGGGAGACAGCCTTCATTCACTAGAGTTTCTGGTGTCTGAGTTTTTCGTTGCTCTTAAAGAATCCCCCAGACTTTTTATGATTGCTATGGAATGTATAAAGTTTGTAATTGTACAATCACTTGATTTGTATGACGCCTCCAAGCCAGGGCTCAGGGTTCTAATTTGACTGAGATAATACTCTTGTGCTAAGGAACTTGATTCTTCCTTTCCCCCTCTCAGGACAGAATGTTTATGAGGTCTAGACCAGCTTTGTAAGTAAAGTCTAAGTGCACAAAATCAGGGCACACACTCCCCTGTTGCTAGTGGATATAGGCCGATGAGATTGGAATTTCTTTTAGGTTTCGAGCCCAGGTTGCTGTCTGTTAAGAACGGCTGGCATGTTTGAGTTCAGCCTAAATATGTTGTAGTGTTCATGAACAGTGATGGTTCAAGAGGCACAGGCTGCCTGCCATCTTTTTCCTAATTGTCACTGTTGTGCCTCAGGATATCCGGAATCAGCGGAGATACAGGCAGAGGAGGAAAGCTGAATTGGTAAAGCTGCAACAGACGTACTCGGCGCTGAACTCTAAGGCCACCTTTTATGGAGAACAGGTGGATTACTACAAGAGCTATATCAAAACCTGCTTGGATAACTTGGCCAGCAAGGGCAAGTGAGTCTTGGTTTTTAATTATTCCAGGGTGGGAATTAGAGGGGCGGAGAGAAGTAAAAACAGCTTCTAATGTGACAATGAGAGAAGTGTTTTAGTTTTTATTAAATGTCCTGTTGCTAATGTGAGGAGGGAAGAGAGGACATGTGTGTGGATGTCAAAAGACAACTCAAGAGTTGGCTCCCTCTGTCTGACATGGCTCCCAGGAGCTGAACTCAGGTCTCCAGACTCTTGAGAGAAGTGCTTTACTGGCTAAGTCATATTGCTGGCTTGAAGTTGGATTTTTCTTTTCTTTCTTCTTTTTTTATTTTTTTAAAGATTTATTTATTTTATGTACAAGTACACTGTCACTGTCTTCAGACACACCAGAAGGGTCATTGGATCCCATCACAGATGGTTGTGAGCCACCATGTGGTTGCTGGGAATTGAACCCAGGACCTCTAGAAGAGCATCCAGTGCTTTTAATCTCTGAGCCATCTCTCCAGCCCTCCTTTTTTCTTTTTTTGAGATAGGATCTCACTGTCTCATTGGTCAGGAACTTGCTCTGTAGACTAGGATGGCCTTGAACTCAGATATCCACCCGCCCCTGCCTCCCAGGTGCTGTGATTAAAGGCGTGTGCTGCCACTGAACTGCAGCACCCAGGACCTACCTGCTGCGTTACTTCTTCATTTGTTGCTGATGTCTGCCTAATTGCCTGGCTCCATTTGTTAGTGTGATGTGGGGAGATGGGAAGGGCTTGGAGATGCCTTTTTCCAAGTACTTGTTCTAAAGTATTAGTTTGGTCTAGATGTTAGTGAATCATGGAAGGGAACCGTCTAACTTGGCTTCCAAATCTCCCACTAAGCATGATGGCACACACCTGCAATTCCAGCCTGTGGCAGGCCAGTCTCTAAACCAACCAATCTCCAAAAGATTTTACAAACCTTTAGGCTCCCCGATGCCTGTGGGCAGGATCACAAGCTCCAGGGAAAGCTTTCCTGTGCTGCTCACAAACCTGAGCCTGCCAGTTTTACAGGGAAGAAACTCCAAACTCCCAACCTTTTCTTTTCAGAAATTTCAAACCTCAGAATGATTGAAGAACAGGACACCCATGAGCCCTTCCCACAGATTCTCTAGAGTTTAAACTGTGCTTTCTGCACCCTTCCCCTGTAGCTCAGGCATGTGCACTCTCCGGGAGGGAGGTGGGGCTAGTGTGGAGAGGTGGTCCCCTAGCTACCTTGCAGCCTTTAGCGTGTTCTGTCCGTCTTTTGCGCTCTCTCTGGCTTTCTCACATATGTGTCACATTTAATTTGTGGTTTGCTCTGCTCAGGCCTAGAATAATGGTTTCTGCAAGCCACCCTAACTTCATTTAGAAACCAAGATCTAACTGTCCTCCTTGCCCCAGATGACATTTTTAGGTCTCCTAGGGAAACACAGTAGGTCTTCACTTTGAATGGCTGAATACTGTGTCATGTGATAACAAGATAAGGTGTTCCGTTAATCAGTTATCCATTGGGGAACGTTTGCTTAATCTTTAAAAACAAAACAAAAAACAAAACTGATGGATGAAGCCAGAGAGATGGCACTGGCTGCTTTTCCTGACGATCCGGGTTCCATTCTCAGCACCCATGTGGAGGCTCACAGCTGTCTAACTGAAGTCCCAGGGAATCTGATGCCTATGCGGGCACCACGTGTGCATCTGGTACACATACACACAAGCAGACAAAGCACTTACACACATAAAATATACTTAAAATGTTGGCACCAGCTTCTTAAAGATGAGCCTGCTCTGCAAATGTGGCCATTTTCTGAAAGTAAACTTCTGGAAGTGACATAGACGGATGGGCCAGAAGTTGTAAGCGACTGTCACGTTCTGTCTTTAGTTGTTTTTCCTCAGGACCTCTCCCACTCACACCACTGCCCACTTCCCTGACACCCTGTGGAGGCCGGAATCCTGGGCAGCATTCTCATATCTTCTTCCCATGGTCACTTGCCGTAGCATGTCCATCTTTGATTTCCTTGACAGCATTAACCTCTGTGTCTGCTTCCTTGACTTCCCGTCCGCTATCGCTCCTGGGCTTTGCTTCGGCTTTTAAAAGTTGTGTATATGAAGTATCTTCTCCCTGCAAGTCTGAGGATTTACAGGGACTTTTTTATTGTTCCCTGGTGACCTTTTGTTTGTATTTTATATATGTGAGGATAGATACATCTTTTAAAAATTGTTTATTTGCCGGGCGGTGGTGGCGCACACCTTTAATCCCAGCACTTGGGAGTCAGAGGCAGGTGGATTTCTGAGTTCGAGGCCAGCCTGGTCTACAGCGTGAGTTCCAGGACAGCCAGGACTACACAGAAAAGCCCTGTCTCAAAAAACCAAAAGAAAAAAAAAATTGTTTATTTTTTGAGTTACAGTGACTTAAAACTTACGTTGTTATCATCATCATTAATTTGTTTGGTTTTTTTCAAGACAGGGTTTCTCTGTGTAGCTCAGGCTGTCCTGGAATTTGTTTTGTAGAACAAGCTAGCCTCAAACACAGACATTGACCTGCCTCTTCTCCCAAATTTCAGGATCAAAAATGCATGCCATCACTGCCCAGCCTTAAGAATTGGTTTTATTTCATTTTATTAAGTGTTGGAGGGAACTTCATGTAGGTCACTAGGCTGGTGAAATCACCGTGCAGCCAAGGCTGGCTGTGAGCAGCTGATTCTCATGACTCTACTCACCAGTGTTAATTCTTGTCTCTTATTATCTCTGTGTGTTTGTACGGATGTGTTGTGTATATGCTTGAACCACAGCACGTGTGTGCTGGTCAGAGAACTTCTTTTGGGAATCAAGGCTCTCCTTCCACCTTGCTGAGGTGGGGCCTCTCAGCTCGATGTACTCCACACGAGCTGGCCCACAGGTTGCTTAGGCAGTCTGCCTGTCTCTACCTCCATCTCACTGTGCGAGCGCTGAGATTACAGTTGCACACCACCGTCTCCAGCGTTTCACACAGCCTCAGGGGATCAAACTTGGGTCATTTGCCTTGTGTAGCAAGTGCTTCTACCCTCTGAGCCTTCTCCCTGGTCCCTCACATGGGATTGTTAGGGGTTCACTTCCAAAAATGGAAGCACGGATACACTCTTAAGTTGGTAGCCTAGTTCTCCGCTATAATTTAAGATAAAGGTAGAAGCAAATTAATGATGTTGCCCAGTTTTTCGGAGTTTGCTAGGGCCAGTCCTCATACTGGTCTGCCGTTTTAGAATTGAGTGTGCCTGTGTGTGAGTTTCTGGCCTCACTTCCATGATGCCTAAAGCTTGTAATAGTTAATTACTTAAAGACATTGTCATAATGTGGTTTTTACCTTTCACAGGGTCTCCAAAAAGCCTAGGGAAATGAAAGGCAAGAAAAGCAAAAAGATTTCTCTGAAATACACAGCAGCAAGACTGCATGAGAAGGGAGTTCTTCTGGAAATTGAGGACCTTCAAGCAAACCAGTGAGTGTTTGCTTTTTATGTTATGTCATTTTCTGTGTATTTGAGACAGGGCATATGGGTGTATACATACACGTGTTCTGGTGTCTGTGTGTGTGTGTGTGTGTGTGTGTAACATGAAGGCAGGTGGCCAGTATCAAATGCTCTTTTCCTCTTCACATTCCACCTTATAGTGTGTGCACACATATGCTAGTGTCCGTGTGCATGCGTGCATCTGAACATGGATCCCAGTGGCCAGTGCTGGGTATGCTGTTCCTCTTCACAATCCACATTATTTCCGGGGCCCAGTCTTTCACTGAATCTGGAGCTCATCTGTTCTGCTAGACTGGCTGGCTAGCAAGCCCTGGGATCTGCCTGTGTCCACCACCCTCACCCTCGTGCTGTGGTTGCAGGCTTGCAGTGCTGTGCCCAGATGTTTACATGGACATTGGGCACCTGAATGGAAGGCCTCGTGCTTGGACAGAGGGGACTTCCCCTGCAGAGCCACGTCCTCTCATATCTCCATTTTGACTTTGTTTTGGACGCTGGGTTTGTATTCTGAATTCATCACATCATTATCTCACTGTTCTTATTTCTCTTTCTAGGTGGCTCTTTTATATACTTTATATATAAATGTTTTTAATATATAAATATATATATAATTATAATATATAATATTATATAACTATATAATATTAATAATTACATAATATTATAATTATATAATATATATTATATATTATATATAAACATATATAAATATGTTTTTAATGTACAGAGCGAGATTTTACAAAATTCTTTAACCTGGTAATAAAAGAGATTGTGGTGGGTTTTTTTGGGGGGGAGGGAAGGGTGTGCTGAGACAGATTTTCTCTGGGTAGCCCTGGCTATCCTAGAACTCACTACATAGACCAGGCTGACTTCAGACTTCCAGAGATCTGCCTGCCTCTGCCTCCAGAGTGCTGAGATTAAAGGCATGCACCACCACCATCCAACTGAGAATGTCTTTTTTAAAATTTTGTTTATTTTATGTGTACACACGCATACACCATGATATATCCATGGAGTCAGGTATCAACTTCCAGGAGTTGGTTATCTCTTTCTACCATATGGGTCCCAGGGATAGAACTCCAGGTATCAGGCTTGAAGGACAGGTGCCTTTATTCCCTAAGAGTTTGTCACCTGAGAATGAATTTCTTTTCCTCATTCATGGACCATTTGTTCCAGGCATGTTGACACCAGTGTGTGTGCATGCCCCAGGAACCCATTCTCTCATTTGCCATATCTGATGACATACTGACTTAGTCACTGTCCCATTGCTGTAACAAAACACAGTGACCATGGCAGCTTATAAAAGTGGGTTAGTCCGTGACTATCACCACAGGGAGTGTGAGCTCACATCTGATCCACAAGTAATAAGCCAGGGAGTCGGGCAGGGAGTGGGGGGGGGGCGTGGAGACTGAGCCTGATATCAGCTTTTGAAATCTCAAAGCCAGTGGCACAACTCCAACAAGGCCACACCTCCTAATCCTTCCCAAACAGTTTCACTAACTGGGGACCAAGCATTCTGTCTCTTATGGGAGCCATTCTCACTGAAGCCACTTCACATGCCCACAAAAAACATCTGCTTCATTCCATATAGGATTGCCTGCATCCTTTCTAGGAAGCACAGCTAGCTTTACCCCTGGGTCAGAACACTGAGTCAGGCCAGTTCAGGCCGCCGGCCCAGTGTCCTCAGCCAGCCCTGGCTTAAGTTGTTAGAAAGCATGCATTGAGCTTGGGCTGCCGACTCTCCCTTCCTTTGGTTCAGAAGGTACTTAGCACTCCTAATTCTGAAATACATATGTATAACTAGCCATAGAAAGCAGGGTGAAGCCTGAGAGAGGGGCCCCTGGGGCACCACAAGCTAGAGAGAATCTACTAGAGGCAGTAAACGCTCTTCCATGCTTATATGCAGAGAAAGGCAATGTGTCTGTCCACTGTGTACAAGTGGTCTGCTTCACTTTCTAAACATATTAGGATGTTGTTTGTCTTCGCCGTCATGTATCCAACACTCTATCCTGAGACATTCTCATGGCCAGGCAGAGAGGTGCACACCTTCAATCCAACACTCCCAGCAGAGGCAGGCATATCTCTGAGTTCGAGGCCAGCCTGGTCTTCAGGGCAAGTTCCCAGGACAGTCAGAGCTAAACACAGAAACCCTGTCTTTAAAAAAAAAGTCTCTTTTATAATAATTACATATTTCCTATGTTGACCTGGTTTAGAACTCTTTTTTGTTTTTGTTTTTGGTTTTGGTTTTTTGAGACAGGGTTTCTCTGTGTAGCCCTGGCTGTCCTGGAACTCACTCGGTAGACCAGGCTGGCCTCGAACTCAGAAATCCGCCTGCCTCTGCCTCCCAAGTGCTGGGATTAAAGGCGTGTGCCACCACTGCCCGGCGGTTTAGAACTCTTTTTTTTTTTTTTTTTTTTAAAGATTTATTTATTATACACTGTAGCTGTCTGACACGCCAGAAGAGGGCATCAGATCTCATTACAGATGGTTGTGAGCCACCATGTGGTTGCTGGGATTTGAACTCAGGACCTCTGGAAGTGCAGTCAGTGCTCTTAACCACTGAGCCATCTCTCCAGCCCGGTTTAGAACTCTTAATTATACTTTTTTTATTATATTGTTGTAACTGTGATAACATATTTGTCAGCCAATGCTTGCATTAAGTCACATGAAGGGCTTTTTTTTTTTTTTTCCGAGATAGTTCCTGGCTCTGCCGCTTAGGTTGATGTGGGCTCATTTTTATCTTCCCTCCTCAGTCTTCTGCAAAGCTAGGACTACAGGCGCAGAGCATCATGCCCCCATTTGTTTTGTGGGTGGTGATGAGGCCTCACTGTGTGGCCCAAGCTGACCTTAAACTCAGCACCCTCCTCCCTGAGCCTTCTCTGTGCTAGGACTGCCGGCTTGTACTGCCACTCTGGGCCGTGGTTACTTTTTAAACTAATAGATACCTACAGTTGAATTTCTAATCCAAGAGTGATTTTTAAAACTACTACAGAAATACATGGCATGGCATACGGTTCACATTGTAACCATTTTCAAGGGTATAGTTAGTATATGCACATCATGGGCCAGATCACTAGAAGGTTTTCATCTTTCAAGATTCCCTCTGTTTCCCTCCCTCCAGCCCCGGCAGCCACCACACTCTTTCTGGGCCTTGCATTTGACTGCATTAGTTACCTCACATAAGTGAAGTCGTGCACTTTTTATCTTTTTCGACTGGCTTGGCATTCACTTAACATAATGTCCTAGAGATTTAACCACGTGACAGGATTTCCTTCATTTTTAAGGCTGAATAATATTCTATTGTCTGTGTGTACCACATTTTGTTCAGCCCTTCATGCACTGATGGGCAGGTGCTGTTTCCGACTCTAAGCTATTGTGAGCAGTGTTGCACCAAACAGGTGCCGACCTCTCCCTGAGTGCGTACTTTCTTCCTGTGTGTGCCCAGATGTGGGGTGGAGGGCCATGTGGTAACTCACGTTTTGGTTGTAGGGGCTCTGCAGCACTGTTGCAGATTGGGCTGATACATTGTTGCCATCGTTCCAGCAGGGCTCGTGGGTGTGGGGAAGCACCCATAATCATATAAAATAGCTCCTTACGGGCTGGAGAGATGCTCAGTGGATACGAGCACTCAAGTTCCAGGCCCCCTGATGCCCCCCTCCCCCATCTCAGAGTCTCATTAGCTAAACACTCAAAGCTCACACATACGGTGTTGTGTTTCAACAGATTTAAAAATGTTATCTTCGAAATTGGTCCAACAGAAGAAGTTGGAGACTTTGAAGTGAAGGCCAAGTTCATGGGAGTTCAGATGGAGACTTTCATGTTACATTATCAGGTGGGTGTGCGCAGGCTTGGACCTAAAGCTCTCTGAGGAGGTGGAAGAAAAAGATAAGAGACAGCCCTCTGGGGAAAGCTGTGTGTTCAAAGAGCCCAGCGCCTAGTTGATGGGAGAAGCCAAGGGTTTGGGGAGGTGGGTGTGGTCTGTGCCCTCTGAAGGTTTCTAAGATGTATGTGCTTCAGTGCATTGATGCCCGAACCCTCACTCAGTGCCCTCTGGACTGAGCAGGTGCCCTAGCCTAGAAGGAACTGCCTAACTCCAATTGTTAGCAGGAAGAGCGTCTATACTGAAATCTTTTTCTCTTCTATTTGTATTTGATATGGATACTTTTGTTAGGAATTTAACTGAAAACGTGTGACTACATTGCCTCTTTGTAAATCTGAATCACATTTTAAATTCAAAATTAACTGTGTAGCAGTTTTATAACATAATTATCCCTAATTTTTTATTTTGAAGTGTCTTAACTTTCTTTTTTCCTGGTGCTTAAGTTTGACCCTCAGGGCAAGCTGTTTCCCATTGAGCTCAATTTCCAACCCCAAGTATCTGGTTTTGGGGAGTGGGAGGAATCTCACGTAGCCCAAGCTATCCTCAAATCCACTATGTAGTTGAGGCTGGCCTTGAACTCTTGGTTCTCCTGTTTCTCCTGAATGCTGGGATTATAAATATGTCCCACTATGCCTAACTGCCTAAATATCTATTTTTGCACATTAAAAAATTGTACCCAATAGGGATGGTGACACACACTAGTAATCCAGCACTCAGGAGACAGAGGCAAGATGATTCAGAGTTTGAGGCCAGCCTGGACTTCATTGTAATTCCAGGCCAGCCTGTATAGTGAAAGTGATCTTCAAAATCCAAGACCAGAAATAATCAGAAAATTGAGAGGATTCATGATCAATGTCCAGACCCAACTATAGGCCTCTTATGGTTTTTGTTTCTCTCTCTCTCTCTCTCTCTCTCTCTCTCTCTCTCTCTCTCTCTTTCTCCTTTCTCTCGATTTATTTTATGTATGAGTATACTGTTGCTGTCTTCAGACACATACCTGAAGAGGGCATCAGATCCCATTACAGATGGTTGTGAGCCACCATGTAACCACATGGGAATTGAACTCAGGTCCTCTGGAAGAAAAGTCAGTGCTCCTAACTACTGAGCCATCTCTCCAGCCTGGTTGGCTTATTTTTTGCAATGCTGAGAATCAAACTTAGGGCGTCACACGCGCTCTGCTGCCAAGCTACTCTTCCATGTCCCACCATGCCCTGCTTGCTACTGTTGTGGTCTAGCAGATCAGGCTGGCGGCTCTCTGTGAGCAAGCATTCCGACTTCTGCACAGGATGTTCTCCCCTCCTGTAATTGGCCTCCCTTCCTCTCCTCCCTACTTGCCTTCTACCTCCACCAAGCAGTGAGCCCTGGCACGTGTTGCCTGCCTGCCAGCCACAGTGGTGGCCCTTCCCTCTGACTCAGCAGCCCTGAGAGACGTCCTCTGTTGACAGTGGAGGCTGACTCACTTCCCTGCCACCCCCAAAACTGTGACCTCCTAAAACAGTATGTCTTAGTCATCTGTATTTTCTTGTCGGTAACCAGTAGTCTCTCGGCGCATATTAATTAAGTAATCGTGAAAGGATTTCTTCACACATTGTAACTAAGCACTGCTACACACAGTCCGGTGTCCCATTGGTTTCCCCTGGAAGGCAGGCCAACCAGTCTGCTAAGGAAACTGTACACCGCTGCTCAGATTCAGTAACTCGTCTGGTTCATAGGTGTATGGGGTTAGGGTTGCGCTAGACAGAGAGGGCACACCATGGTCCCCACCCTCGTGACACTGTGGTCCCTTCATGCCCTTTCTCACCACCACAAGTTTAGGGGTAGGGATGACAGTGCTGCCGTAAGCCGTCAGCACAGCAGACAGTGTTGCGAAAACAGCCTGTCAGAAACCCATCACCCCAAAGCCAGCTCTTCCCTGACGGCTGTGCCACCCAACACTTGGAGCCCCAGCAGCTCATCTTTAAAGTTTAGATGACCATGCTTCACATGCTTCATGAGGGTTTTGTAACGACTAATGAAACCGTGCATGAGGTGCCTGAACAAGGCCACGCACAGGCTAGGCGCAGAAAATGTTTCTCATGAGGAGTTGAAGTTGGGCTACGGTTGCCTGCCAGAGGCTGTATATTCAGTTCACAAGAGACCCTGGGTTTAGTCTCCTACAAGCAAAAGACTCCAGTAGATTGTAGAGCTGGTGGTGTAGTTCTCCATTGGTAGAGTGTTTGGCATGCACAAAACCCTGGGTTTGATCCCAGTACTGTAGCAATTGAGCCTGGCAGTGCATGCCTGTCATCCCACCGCTGTCATCCCACTGTGGAGACCATGGGACCCAGTCAGCCTGTGCCGGGCTGGGGGGGTAGGGGGGAGAGGATGTCTAGTAGGTACTGAAACACAACCAGCCACTCTCATTTTCAACCATTGGCATATTTCATGAATTGAAATGTCTTTATCTTTTCCATGTGTATTAAAACCTCTAACATACAGCCATGATCAATGGGAAAATGCCATTGTAACTTTTGGAATAAGGTTTAAATGTATTTTAACTGAATATAACTCCTAATTTTCCTTCATGTTTAGAATATTTTACTATAAACTAAATGATACCCTAAGACCAAGTTAGCTTGAAGGGTCCCTCAGCCAGCACTCCCTGTTATTCCAGCACCCAGGGTGGTCGTGTGGCCCCAGGATGGTCGTGCAGTGTAAGGTTCTGCCCTGAGAAGTGTCTCACCCGCCCCATTGCACATCTGGCACCGAAGGCCTGCCTCACCTCTGCTGGATCCTCCCTTCATGAGACCTTCCTTTTCTTGTTCCAGACTTGATGGTTAAATTGTTTTGTTTTGTTTTGTTTTGTTTTTAAACAGGATTTGCTGCAGCTACAGTATGAAGGGGTTGCGGTCATGAAATTATTTGATAGAGCTAAAGTGAATGTCAACCTCCTGATCTTCCTTCTCAACAAAAAATTCTATGGGAAGTAATGGGTCATTTGCCACCCGGAAGAATTAAAAAAGGCAACGCCTCACAGCTGTCTTTCTAGGATCCTCTATTATCCCTTGGAAGCAAGGGCCGGGTCCAGCGGCGCCTCAGTTCACACTCCTGAAGTCCGGGTTTAAGTCCCCTCCCTCTGACAGGACATCAGTGCCCTCTCCCCTCTCCTAGTGAAGCCATATGCCTGGCTTCTCCTCAGCCCTGCTCCCCTCATTTTCTCTCATCATGTAGGAAACAGTGGAACCCCACCCAACCCCCCTCTCTTAAAGCCTCCTAAGTGGTCATTACCACTTTGTAAACATTGGTGTTTGTTTTACTTAGCAATAAGAATAGTGGAATTCACACTCTTGTTGAGAAGTGAAAGCTGTCAGGTTGATAGCATGCATGCACTCCAGATTCACCGTAAGTGTGGCCCATCGGCACAGTCAGAGGATGAAGGCTATGAAGTCCTGGGTCTGATGCCTTTGTGGGTGGAGCTAATCCAGTTACTGTTCTCTGTTCTAATGAAGCAGCTTCAGGAGAAAAAGAACAGCTACTTTTGAATTCTCCACTGAATCTAGGCAGTGCTGTTAGCGCAGAGCCCTTCCTGGTGAAGGTGAACCCCGTGGTCAGAGACGGCCATTTAGAGACTGAGTGGGTGGGGCACTCACCATCCCTCTCACAAGGGGATGGCTTACCCTAGCTCAAAATGTAACTCTTTCTAAACTGTATTCCAAGCGTGCCTTACCAAAGTATAAACTTATTTCTTAAAATGTGAGTGATAGGAATTTTAAAGATTTATATAATGCTTTAGAATACTCTTGAGAAAGTTTTTTTTTTTTTTTTTTAATAATTTGGTTAATCTGTATATCTGAATTCTTGAAGCTTTCCTCTAGCCTACAGTAGGGTCTGTCTACAGAGTTGCTGAGCTAATCCTGCTTGATTTTAGCAACAAGAAACAACATCATGCTTAAAGTTCAGATCCATCCCCTCTCTGGATGCTGCCCACATCATGCTTTTACCCTGAGAAACCTGGACCCTTAGGCTCTAACAAAGACAATTCAGCTCCGGATGTTGAATTTGGAACCTTTGTCCTTGGATTAAAAGTCATAAACTTAAAAAAAAATCTCTTTATTCAAAAAGATAGGTAAATCATGCTACTGAGCCCTTGATGTCTTTGATGTTTGGTTCGGTATTCTTGCATAAAACATAAAAATTAAACTAACATTGCAGAGTCTACTGATGTATATTGAAGGCAAATAAGCTGTTTTAATTAGTGACAAATTGTGTGGTTTGTCCCTATTACAAATGTAAATCTTGGAGACGTGTCCTTCATGATGTCCACATGTGCAGGCCAGGGTGAGTGGATGCAGGTAGAGGCAGGAGCCGAGAAAGGATCTGACACCACATTGACATTGAGTGTTGGAACATAGTTTCCTGAGAAAACATCTTCAAGGCTGGCATGGTAGTAGATAGCTATAATCTGAGCATTCAGAGGCTGGGGAAGAAAGATCAAAAGATCACTAAGTCGAGGCCAGCCTGGACTACATAACCCCATCCTGTCTCTAAAAAAGAGAGAGAAAGAAAGAGGAAAAAAGAAAAAGATCCTGTTACAACCAGCATCACTTCAAAAACAAGGTTAACAGATGTGTCAAGTGTGTCTTTTTTTTTTTTTTTTTTTTTAAAGACAGAGGAAATGGGGTGGGTCTCTGTCGCCTTGGCTGTCCTAGAACTCAGTGTAGATCACACTGGTCTAGAACTCACCAAGATCTGCCTGCCCCGGTCTCTTGAGTGCTGTGACTAAAGATATGAGCCACTATACCTGGCTTTCAAGTATGTTTTCTTAAAAAGGATGCCATCACAAATGTCCCAGGGGCCACCTGCAAGACAGTAGTGAATCCAGGTTACAGCGCCTTCAGATGCCTCAATTACCTGGAAGGATGCTCCTTCCCTGAATACCCAGTAAAACTGTGCCACATGCCCTTGGAAGATCTTCACGACTGCCATGGGATCCTGCTTAGGCAGCACCGTGGTCCCCTCGTGAGCCTCAGGTCGGCACACTGAAGAAGGCGTGCCGCGCTTGTGTTATTTATCAGCTGCAGCCGTCTCTGTCTTGGCTCTCACCTCCTCTGACCTTCTCTCTGACCAGCCGTCGTGACATTTACTATGAATTTACTTCCTCCCAAGAATCTGGACTGGCCGTCAGACTGTGGCTACACACAATGCCTTTGTATCTTCGTATGAAATAAAAGGTCATTTGTTCCTGTTTGTGTTTATTTTTCTTGGTTTCATTGTTAGCAGTTCCTGTTAGATGGTGTTAACTAGAGTAAGATTAAATCACTCCCCCACCCTGTAGTTTGTTGTTTTGTTTTTTTAAAGAAGAGCAAACCAAGCCTGCCTTTGGATCACAGAATATCTCTTGTACATTTTGTTTATTGTGTGGGTATGGAGGTTAGAGGACAACTTGGAAATCATCTCTCTTTTCCCCCCATGTAGGCCCAAGGATTAAATTCAGGTTGTTGGGTTTAACAGCTCACTAATTTATGAACTTTTAAAAAAAAGATTTTATATATATATGTGCTCATGCCAGAAGAGGGCACCAGATCCCATTATAGATGGTTGTGAGCCACCATGTGATTGCTGGGAATTGAACTCAGGACCTCTAGAAGACCAGCCAGTGCTCTTAACTGCTGAGCCATCTCTCCAGTTCCCAATTATGGACTAGTTTTTAACTTGGTGTTTAGCCTTTTAAAGTGTATTATGCTTAATGTGGCCTCAACATAAGAAATACAGTGAAGAGCCAGACTTGAAGGCACACGCCTTTAATTCCAGCACTCAGGAGGCAGAGGCAGGCAGGTGGTCTACAGAGTGGGTTCCAGGACACAGAAAAACCCTGTCTTGAAAAAAAGCAAAAAAGGAAGACAAAATATACTGAGGGACTGTTGTCATGTAATTGTGATTGGCTAAATCATGAAGGTTTAAAATCGCCATTTAAGTCACCAGAAGTGACTAGGGTAAGTTGGAAAAAATAAGTCAGCAATTGCAAAACAAAAACGGGAGCTGGGAATGATGCTGGGGAGATGGCTCAGTATGTAAGAAACACTGGCACAAGCGTGAGTTCAAATCCCAGAATTCACATAACAGCACAGTAGCACATGTCTGTAACTCAGTGTTCCTACTGTGAAACTGGGGACAGGGAAATCCAAAGGCTGGAGGTGGGGACAGGAGAATCCAAAGACTGGAGGTGGGGACAGGGGAATCCAAAGGCTGGATGGCCAATGAGCTGGGCATACCAGGCAAGAAAGCAAAAGACCCTGTCTCAAAGTAGAAGGCAAGGACTGGCACCTAAGGTCCTCTGACCTCACAGGAGTGCCAATATACAAGTACACAATGTTCATACAACCTTACACAAGAATACATATCTCTAAGTACCTCACTGTGTGTGTTCGCTAGCCAGATGTCTGAAGTCAGTGGTGATATGATAGAAACAGAATCTTAAAGGAGGCTTAAGTGACAAGCTGGGATGGTTTCTGCCAGTGGCTGCAGGGACTGCCTAAGGAAGAATGTCATGGTCAGAACACGGCTTTCCTGACAGGGGACCTTATGGAACAAACATTCATGCTTTGAGCCACAGCCTTCTCATTCTGAAACACATGGTGCCTTTGGACAGGCTGATTATGGAATACTAAATCTGTTAGCCTGGGCTCTACATTGTTCTCCAAAGAAGTCAAGGGAGTTAGAAAGGGGAATCATTAAATACAGAGGGTTAGGCTGGCAGGCATGTTCTTTAGCTCCTTGCAATGACCTGACTAAAGGCAGCTAGAGAGAGGAAGGGTTTGTTTTGGCTCATAGTTCAGGGGAGCGCAGTACACCTTGGCAGAGAAGGCGTGGCAACCTGGAGCAGTATGGTTGGTGGTGCCAACCAGGAAGGAGAGAAGGGAATGTCTATCTGTTTAACTGGCTTTTCCTTTCCCCCTTTTTATTCTGTCCAGGACCACAGCCCATGGAAAGATCCTGCCAGACCCCAGGGTGGGTCCTCTATCAGTTAAATCTCTCTGGAAACTCAAAGTCATATTCAGAAGGAGAGACGGCTCAGCACCTAAGAGCATTTGTTGCTCATGCAAAGGACCTGGGTTCCATTCCCAGTACCCACACAGTACGACAGCTTACAACCAACTGTAGTTCCAGTTACAGGGGATCCAATGCCCTCTTCTGGCCCCACGGGCAGCAGACACGCATGTGGTATACAGACATAGAGGCAGGCAACACACATTGAATAAAGGAAAACAGGACATACTCAGAGCTGGGTCTCCTAGGTGATTCTAAATCCAGTTAGTGAAGTTGTCATGGAGCTGATTAGTCAAAATGAAGGTCATCTCTCTCCCTCTGCTGACATCCATCCCAGGAATGATCAGGATGCCCACCCCCACCCCACCCCACCCCCACCACCAATTTAACCCTAAATTGAGTTGGGCAAAGCTAATACAGGTTTTCGTTTCAAGTTTGACAAGTGATTTGTTTTCGTTGGTTGGTTTTAGATGGTCTCAAGTAGCACAAGTTAGCATTGACTTCATATTGCCAAGGACAGCCTGAACTAGATCATCTGCCCCACCTCCACAAGGCGATGGGATTACAGATGTGGGCCACCAAGTGCTACTGTTCACTTCCAAGTCTTTATGTTCAAGTTGCAAAGTGTGAGGGCTGAGGTGCGGCTCAGTGGCAGAGCTCTTGCCTAGCATGCGTATGACCCTGGGTTCAATGCCCACCACAAGTTTATAATTGCCCGTGTGTTGTGGATTTTGAGGTAACAATTGCTGTATACAGTTATCGAGGTTTTGTTTGCTTGCTGCGTTTTGTTATTGTCTTAATACAGGGTCTCACTGTGAGTGCTGGTTGGTCTGAAACCCAGAGACCTGCCTCCCTTTGCTTCACCAATAATGATATTAAAGATCTGTTCCACCATATCATACATTTTGAAAGGCACATAAATGAAACTCTGGGGGAAATTTAAATTCCTTGTATTCCTCTCTTGAAACTCATGGGCTTTTGTTTTCTTGTTTGCAGTGCTGGGACTAGAACTCCGGGCCAGCGTTTTACCACCAAGTGCAGCCATGACTCTAAGCCCCTGTTTCTACTCTGCATCTCTCACAGCATTTTTTTTCCCTAATACTTTTTTATGATGCTAGGAAGTGAGCCCAGGGCCTACAGCATGGTAGGCCTGCACTCTTACTACATCTCGGGCCCTTTAACAGTAATTTATTTATTAGCCAGGTATGGTGCCATTGGCCTTTAATCCCGGCACTTGGAAGGCAGAAGCGGGCAGATCTTTGTGAGTTCGAGGCCAGCCTGACCTACAGTGAATTCCAGGACAGCCAGGAATACACAGTGAGACCTTGTTTTCAAAAAACCAAACATGTATGTGCGTGTATATATGTATGTGTGTATATATGCTATATATAAACCAAACATGTTTTTTGTTATTTATTTAAACAATTTTTATTTTGAGACAGGATTTCACTAAGTTGCTCATGGGTAGCCTTGAACTTGTTCTATAGCCTAGGCAGGCTTTGGACTTAGGAACTGCTTGCCTCAGTCACTCAAGTATCTGGAGTTAGGGGTCTGCCCATGATGCCTGACTAAAAATATGTCTTATTTTAAGTTATTTTGTCAGCTACTCGTAACAACAACAAGATAGGGTTGGCAAGATGGCTGAGCTGGTACAGGCACTGCCTCCAAGCCTAATGGCCTGACATGGGCCTACATTTGAGCCTCAGGACCTACACGGTGGAAGGAGAATCCGACTTCCAAAAGTCGTGCTCTGACCCTCATGTGTGCCATGCCATAATACAGTAAATAAATAAATGGGTTTTTAAAATTAGGGTGTGTGTGTGTGTGTGTGTGTGTGCATGTATGTGTGTGTGTGACTGCATGTGTGTGATTATTAAATGATTAAGTCAGCCAGAGAAATCATGGCATATTTTTATTATTATTACTGTATCTTTGATCACAGTAACATAACACTTTTATTCTTAGTTATGGCTGAACCAACCAACTCATTCTCGGAAAGCAGATAAAAAGCGAGTCAGAATTCCAGTTAAATGTGCAAATCCACAGATGCAGAAATGTTCAGCCCCTCTGGTAGGGCTGATTGCTGCCTGTGATTCAGCACAACAGCTGAGCAGAGTATTGGTCCTACTCACCCCACTGTCCAATCGGAGTCGTACCTCACTTTGTTACCAAATCTCATCCAAATCCACGGGGAAGTGACACGATTTTCCTCTTGTTTCTTGGGCAGGGAATACTTGATTCTGAAAGTTGTGGGAGATATGGTAAATATATTGATCACAATGGCAGGCAGCAGCCAAAGGACTGGGGTTTGTTCTTTTGTTTTTTTAAGGTTTATTTTATGAGTCCATGTACACCTACATGCCGGAAGAGGGCATCAGATCCCATTACAGATGGCTCTGAGCCACTATGTGGTTGCTGGGAATTGAACTCAGGACCTCTGGAAGAGCAGCCAGTGCTCTTAACTGCTGAGCCATCTCTCCAGCCCAAAGGAGACAGTTTTAACAATTCTGAGAGCTATTTGGAACTAACTTCTTGAGATCAATGAAGATCTTGAAGGGATCTTGAAGACCTTTTAGTTCTATTTAAAAAAAAAAAACTCAATGGCTTATAACAGAAATAGTAATATGATTACATTTCACCAATTTTTAAAAATTGTTTTTTGAAAATATTTTTATGTATGTGCATGAGTGTGCAAGTACCCATGGGGACCAGAGGAGGGCACGGTATCTATCTCCTGAGCTGGAGTTACCTCTGGACATGGATGCTGCCACCTAAACTTAAGTCTTCTGCAACAGTTCTTTTTTGTTTGTTTTGCTTTGTTTTTTGAGACAGGGTTTCTCCGTGTAGCCCTGGCTATCCTGGAACTTGCTCTGTAGACCAGGCTGGCCTCCAACTCACAGAGATCTGCCTGCCCTGCCTCCCACATGCTATGATTAAAGGTGTGTGCCACCACCGTCTGGAATGTAGTAAGGGTTCTTAACTGCTAAGCCCTCTCTCTAGGACCCTAGGCCCTGTCAGTTCCACTGGGGAGGGGGAGGTTTCTACTGAAGCCTGGCTACTCAACAAACTCAAGGCTCTGGATTCTGTTCCCAACTCTGCCTCCACTCGGGAAACATTTGGTACAAAACAGCATTACCTGAAAGGATTTATAATTCAGTCACTACATTAGGTAGGACTTGGGAGGTACACAGGGGGTTTTGTCAAGATT